GATGAAAGCCCACAAACTCGTGATTCAGAGCAGCTCATTCCAAATGCTTCTTTTCTGTGCTTGCTTTGAACAATGCTACTTTTTGAGGAGCTGTGAGTTAAAAAGGGAGCTGCCCTTGTCTGTGGGTGCACACTTCTCCCAAGAGTGGGACAGCCAGCTCACTTCTGGGCAGCCTTGGGGGGCTATGTGGGAAGTGAGCTGCATTTACACAGTGCAAGTGCCTGCCTAAAATAAGCTGGAGTTTGCACTTTTTTCCCCCCAGCTGATAAATGTGAGTGGGTTCTTCACTTTACAAAGGTTTAGATACTGGACTGTGATCATGCATTAAGGTATTTTATTGCTTTATTGCTTTAAAATGTGCAATTGCAATCTCTCAGTTGAAAAGCTGCAATTATTTAAATAGCCTTTAGTCCACCAGTGTTGCCAGATGTGTGACTGAGAGCTACAGCCAGGCAGCCTCCAAAGTTTGTTCTCTGTGAATATGTTTGTGAAAGGGTTGTTTAGATGCATAAGTTTGCCACAGTTTAGTAATAAAGAAACCGTGTCATCAAGCAGTTGGGAGTTATCACTTTGAAGTTCTGCTGATGACACCTGTGCAGCAGGCATGAGCAGGAGGATGTGCATTAGCTGGATTTTGGGTCAGACTGCATCTATTCAGCCAGTCAGCTTTGGCAGGATGTGAACGTACTGCCTCTAGTCCCAGCACAATTTTTAACATGTTTCATAACTACTATATTGCAATACATTTTTGAGGGGCTTTGTTTTGTTTTTAAATTTTAAAAAATGCTCTGTGCACACTTGATGCCACCCTGGCTTTGTGCTGAGGAGCCCAGGAGACATCTGAAACATTTAGGACCTGTCTAGACTGAAAGCTGAGCTGTGATGAAACATGCAGGAGCTGGCAGGACCCAGATCTGCAGTGCCACGTCAGGCACAGATGGTTTAGCAATCTCCAGCCCAACTGCAGCTGCCAGGGGACCAAAAGAAAACTTTTTGCTTTTAAGCAAATGGGAGCAAAGGCATGTGAGTGTTGCTTTTGGGAGCTGGGGTAAAATCCCAGTAATATTCCAGTGCTGGCTGCAGCTGTTCATCCTTCCCATTAGCCTCAGAATAAAATCATCTGCAGGAACAGTTTCTAGTGTAGAAATTGTAATAGAGTCAGAATTGAAATTCAGACTCTGGCAGCCAGTGATGTGGTTGATAGTGCTTAATGTACAGGAAAGCTCAACCCAAGAGGAAGACAAGCAGCTGTTAATCCAAGACTGAGCTAGCTGAAGTGCAGCTTGGGACCTGTAAATAATTAATAGGTAAATTAATAAAGACTATTGTGGTGATGCTGTCATTACCTGTGGATTGAACTAAATACTAATCAGGGTGGATAACTAGCTGGTTATTTTTCTCATCTGAAAACAGAGTAGAAAATCAAAATACAGATAGTTAGACTAAGAAATCACATTGTTATTCATAAGTTTCTTCATATTTTGTAACACTCAGTGAACACAAATAAATGAATGTCTACAGCACTTAACTTTCCTCCTGTTAAAAAGAAAAATGCATAGAAAGAGGGGTTTTAGGTCAAGAATTATAAAGCTATTGTAGTTGAAATTGAGTCGTGGTTTTATATGCAGTGAGCAACATGACACTGAACATGGAAATTAAACTAGGGATGAAGGGAAACTGCTCATAAATTTAAGGTGTGCCTGGATGACAACTCCTTATTCTTTGATCTGAGTTCTCATATTTACCAGGATGATTTTTTTGAGTTTTCTTGGCTGTCGTTGGTGATCACACTCCCCTGGGAGCATCAGAGACCAAGTGAAGCAGCATCCCTAAGCTGGCTTCAATATATACAAATTTTACCTTTAGAACTCCTAAAGGGGAAAAAAATAACTTGCACATGCCTCCAGAGAAGCTGTATTTTGAGCGCAAATTTTACCTTTAGAACTCCTGAGGGGAAAAAAAAAATAACTTGCACATGCCTCCAGAGAAGCTGTATTTTGAGCAGCCTCAGGAGTGACCATGAGCTGGTGCCTGTACAATCTTGTTTCCTCCAGAAAAATACAGGTGTTGCCTTTCTTGTTTCGCTAATATGTAGGATCCTACTCTAGGACAATGGTTTAAAGCTGTAAACAGTAGCTTTTAATGGTCAGTATCTTGGGGTTTTAAATACCAACTAATCCTCACATTGTTCCAGTTGTGGTGTACTGCACTCAGAGATGAAGCCTGGTACAGAGCCTGGTACAGAGGTGTCTATTCCGGAAGAACATCATTAGCTTAGTGCTCATTTGCACTTTCAGGGTCTGTTTCAGAAGGAAACAGCATAATGTAAGCAGTGCCTTCTGTAGAAAGAAAAAACATAAGCCCTTTTGAAACACGGCAGCTGCTGTTGTTTGACTTTTGAGGGATCATTCCCTTTCCAGCATCCTACTTTACTGTGCCACCACTGCTTCTTAATCAGCCCCGGAGAGGGCTCAGCAATGCTTGTCTTGAGACTCCCTCTAGCGAGGGAATGGTGTGCAGCTCTGAGCTGAGAAATCCTAGCAGAAATCCAGCATGTAGCAGATGCTGGACGGAACAGAAAGCCCTGGCACGGTCTGCACGGCCCGTGGGGCTGCCGGAGCTCGGGAGCTGCGCTCGGGGCTCACACAGTGAGCGCTGCCGTTCCTGGGAATGGGAATTCCGGGCACAGGAGTTTCCTGAGGGCTCTGGTAAAAACGAGAGCACGATCCCGATACTAAAGTGATTTCGGCATTTATTATAAGGAAAAGAAGGGGTCCCGCGGGCAAGCAGGAGCGCTCCCGTCGGGATGCTGCAGCGCCGGGGCTGGCTCTGCTCGTCAGCAGCGATGTCCCAGATGGAGCGGCACAGATTCAGTGGGTCAGAAACCCCCTTTTATCCTGTTTTTTGTCCCTTTGGACTGGTTTCTTTTTGGATCCTTCATCTGCATGAAGGTTTAAGGCTCTGATTGGCCCATTGCAGTTCTGTCCAGGCTGGCTCGTTTCACCTGGGGTGGTGCACTTTGCTTAGGTGCGGTATGGTACGCTGAGTGCTGTATTCCTTATGACTGCCCTTTTACCCCTTTTACAGTACAATAACCAAACGAACAGCACATGCTTAAGGATCTATCTACTATTTTACAACAGTTCCTAACCTATTTTTAACAGCTCGGCTCCATGGCTGAGCAGCTCATCCTCTCCTACCAGGTGGGCCCTGCATTTGTGGATTGGGATAGCTGGAAGGAGCACAGAGGAGCTGGAGGGCTGTGCCTCCATCCCGCTCTCTGCCATGCCCCTGGTGACAGGGAGCACAGAAATGGAAGCCCTTTTCTCAGTGCACTATTAACAGCAATGATAAGATGGTGAGAGAGGGTGTGAAATGAGATCTTGGAGGGGAAGCTGCGTGTTGTATGCCCTGGCACCTTCTCTTAACACAGAAATGGCTCTGGTTTCTCGGGAGAGACCAGCTGTGAGCTGTTATGTGTTTAAGGAAATACATGTTTGAGTAAATAGAAATTGTTTGCACAGGGACTGCTTTGCAGTCACTCAGACTAACAGCTGCTTGAATTGATGGAAAAGGGGCAAAGAATGGAAAGGTCAGTTCTGGTGTGCTGCTCTATCCCTGCCTTTGTCACTGAAAAATACACCAGGTTTAGAAACTAAATTATCTCTGAAAAATTATTTTCCCTCATTGATACTGTACTTTACCAGCAAGTAGGTAGGGTGTTATTTAGCACAGTTTTTTGATAGTATAATTCTAAAAACTGTTACTATTGGATGTAACTTGATTCTGGCAAGTGTAGCTTTTAAGGCATTAGGTAACATTAGGGTAACTGTAGATGGTTTTGGTATTTGCTGTCTGTGGATGCATAAATAACAGGACTCAAACTCACTCCCTCCTTTCTCATTATGTAAAAATAATTCATTTTTAGAAATGTAACTCAGCTACAGTCAGTGCTGCTGTTTTCAGATGGAACTCTCATTTCAGAGCCGTGATACAACTGGGACCAACCTTAGGGACAGCTCTCGGCATCTGCTGCCTACTTTTGCATAAATCACCAAAGGACAAGCCCTAGTTCAAAGCTCCTTTTATTTACAAAACCCTACCACACATCCTATTTTTCCTAATCCAGATAAATCCATGAGATGGAAAATTCTAATGTGGCTGCATATGGCACCACATCCTGTGGATGTAAGAGACACCTTGTCCCAGCCATTCTCACATCCTGAAGTGGCCAACACCTGACTAGGAATGCAAAATCTAGGTGCAGAATGCAAGCTATAGAAGGATGTGTACTAAGCCATGGGTGCTTCACCTTCTCTGGAACCTCTGTTTTGAATGTGAACAAGTCAGGGAAGTGTGGGGTGGTGTTAAGACACAGTGGCACAGTAGGCGATTTTAATTAGTTTGGTTTGTTTTTATGAATATAGAAAACGGAGCATTTGAGTACCTAATTAATGAATAGCTACTGCAGTGAGGCAGCTGGTGCCAGGGAAGAACACATCTCTTACATCTTATTTTAAATTCAAATCTTTCCAGAAAGCAAGAAGTGCAGGGGAAACAGGAAGGACTCCTAAGGAGGCTTCAGGGTGACCTAATTGTGGCCTTTCACTGCCTGAAGGGAGCCTGTGAGAAAGACGGAGAGAGACTTTTACAAGGACAAGTAGTGACAGGGCAAGGGGGAAATAGCTTCAAACTAAAGAGGGCAGGATTTGATTAGATATTAGGTTAGATATTAGAAAGAAATTCTTTACTGTGAGGGTGGTGAGGCACTGCCACAGGTTGCCCAGAAAAGGAAGTTGTGGATGCCCCATCCCTGGCAGTGTCCAAGGCCAGGTTGGATGGGGCTCTGAGCAGCCTGAGATGGTGGAAGGTGTCCCTGCCCATGGCAGGGGTTTGGAACAAGATGAACTTTAAGGTCCCTTCCAACCCAGGCCACTCTGATTCTATGAATACAAACCCAGTTCTTGCCCACCCAATAAAAATAAAACACTAAACCTCTGTCACTGTGCTGAGTTTCAGTTTAATCCAGTTAAAAACTAATCTATACAAAGTACAGAGTGGGGCTTTTTTTTTTTTTTTTTACATATATTGCACCAGAGATATGAATTTGTACAACATTAACCAAATTTTACCCCTTCATCCTCCTACTGAAATCCCAGCCAAGTACAAAACTGAATCTCTGCATCTTTGTGGTGGAACTGGTATCTGTACAAAGTTAGATACAGTTTTGTTGTAATCACCTCCCAAATGAAAAGCAGAATACAGGCGTAAGCACTTGTGCCCATGATATTCCAGTCCCTTATTTCTCTGTGGTTATAACTTCCCACTTCCCAAGTTACAACAATTCTTTACAAAGCTCTGGATGTTTGCAAGTAAATGGGATAAGGGGGACAATTGCCAACAGCAGAGTCAGGACCTCACAATCAGATGTAAGAGGCTGCACTGAAACTTAAGCTTGAGCATTACATTACCAAGTCATTGTGACATTTAATGGCATCTTAGAAGGCAGAAGTAGCCTGAAGGAATGGTTTGTATGGTAGAAATGCCTTCACACCAAAGGTTTCAGTCCTTGAATCTCTACTAACATCTGTGGCTGTATCACTTGTCCTCTGTAAAGCTTCATGTGGGATGGGGAAAACAGTAAGATTTCCCCTTGCCTTTACCATGACATTTGAATAATTCCCTCTTTGTTTCCCTCCTCACCCTGTTACCCATTATCAGGCTTCAACCCCAAAGCCAGGGCTGTGCCCAGAGAAAGTTCATGGAGCTGTAACTGTGTCTGGGCCTCTCTGCAGACAGCTGAGGCTGTTGAAAGATATTTTAGTCTCCAGACAAAGACAAAATCAAACTGGCATAGAAATGACAAACAGTGGAGACATTGGTTTTGGAAACTAAAAACGTCATCTACTTGCATAAGGAATAAAAAGAAAATGAGAAATAAGTCAAATTGAGTGGTATAAATGAACGAAATGCAACATGACAACAGGATAAAATAGATAAGGAAGCCTGATCTGTTCCAGCACTGAGTTCTGCTGCATTGTGTGGAGAACAGGAATATACCCAGGTCAGATGAAAGAAGCCTAGAGCATGGAAGGAATGTGCCTGGCTTCCATCAACCAAAGTTCTTCAAAGTGAGAAATTTCCCAAATGTCAATACAAAATGTTAGCAATTGCCCTCTGTTTTGAGTTTGCCTAAAATAGTCAAGTCTTATTCTGAAAGGAACATCTTTCTTTAACAGAGACGTGCTTCTGTTTCTTTGCTCAAGCCCCAGAATATCTCTTTTAATGCCACTGTCAGCAGTTAGCCACAGAACAGGAAGGAAATGTAAAGGATGCAGGCAGAGGTGTGTGTATCCGTTCAAAGCCAGCATTATACAATCAGAACAATCCGTGTTTAAAAAACAAAACAAACAAAAAAACAACGACAAAAAGCCAAGCAAACAACGAAATCCACACAGGGTTTACACTTTAGGATAGTTTCAGTTTGAAATGAATGAGAAGCAGGGACACTGGCACAACTTTTCAGCATTATAGTAAAACTGACATGAAAATCAACTTACTCTTATAAAATCTTGGCTTGCAATACGAGGGACCTATCCTGCTTCAATACCAAAATAATACAGTCAAGTAGCACCCCTGGCTTAGGACACTTCTTAACCTTAGACCAACTGCTGAAAGACTCATAAGAGTCAACAGTGAGACCCTTAACAAATCCCAGATTCATGTCTGAGAAGAGCTCTCTGAAGCACATGGTGCACTTTGAAAAATCTGGTTTTATTGTAGGAGGTAGGACAATTGCACAGAAAAAGACAGTGAGTCTTGTTCTGTTTTGCACAATATTTCCATCAACATAAAAAGCTTACTTAATAACATGCAAAATTTTGAGATCAGCTGGCATCTGATGAAAGAAATGGGGACAAAAGTGCTGTCCCAAGGGCCAGTTGAGCTTTCAACTGCTACACAGAATTCATCTCAACAAGGAGGACGGTTCAGATCAGTACACAAGCACAGTATTCCTTTTGAAGGCTTTCAGTGAAATTCTTAGGTTTCTGTAAACATGAAAAATATTCACTGTTCCACATAATTCTTTGCTGTGTTTAAATTTTAGAAAGTGCAAATTTTCTGTGATTAAGAAATTTCACTTTTATTTGGTCTCAAAGAAGAAAGGGTTTAGTAGTGCTGGAAATAGGCCTTTATCTATGGTCTTTGTTTCCCCATCTTTTGCTTTTCAGCATTTCTGGAAAGAGTTTCTACATCAAAGTAGACCTAACTTAACATCCAGGCCTGCTCCCTGTTTCCTCTCTGAGAAGATCCTGATTCATGCCTAAACACAGAATGGCAGACATCTCCCCCTTCTTTGTGAGGGGAGAATTCAACAGCTCAGTCCCCCGGCCATAAAAACCTTTAGCATTAATGGTTTCCTTAATTCCCTTCTCCATTATAGCCTCTACATGACCCCCTTGTGTTTCCTACCAATGCATTTGAGAGAAAATTAATTTAACTTAAAAATCAAATCTGACTGATACTTCATCTCTAACATTCCCAGTGATTTTACAGTCTGAGGGAGAAAGTTCATGTTTCACTCTGATTTCCTGTCCCCCCACCCCTCCCTCCCCAAATAATAAAGATGCTATAAAGTTGAGGCACGAGTGGTTAAGGGTGAACTGGATCAGTTCTGACAGCTGGTTCCTGGATGTGTCCTGGTGGTAAAGGCTGATCTCCTCCTGCTGGGTGCTGTGGTGCATCTGCAGCTTTGTGTTCAGCAGCTGGAAAACAAGAGGAGAACCCTTGGTAACATCTCAGTAAACTGGCCCCAAATGTGAAAATTCTCTAAATGAAAGTTTCTAGCATAGAGACACTCAAACAAAACCTCCTATTTTCTGGTTTACAAGTGGAATCAAGAGTTTTCTGTGTGCCTAACAATGACTTGGGATCGAGACCCAACAGTCTGCACTATTAGTCAGTGTCACCTCTTAGATTACAAGTTGTTTCTACTTTCTGTGAAATATTCTCACATAACACATTGTTCTTTCTGAAATAAATCATGTTTTTATGAGACCTTTAATTCCAATACGGGAAGCTTGAAAAAGAAATAACAGCTTGCTCCTGTATGTTACTCCTCACTGCATTGGTTCTCACCATGTTATCTCTTTTGCCTGTGTTTGAGTAATACTAATGTTCATACTTTGATGAAGATTTCAGAACATGCAGCTCCCTTTCTGGATTTTTTTTTCCCCTCAAATTACTCTTAGTAGATCCAGTGGCCTACAGATTTAAAGTAGTGTCTACTTGGACATGCTTGATTCAGTGAATGAGTAGTGACCAGTTCTGGCTAATATAAAGAATTCTCATGACACCTAATTAAATGACTTTACAGAACGATTTTACATTAAAAAATGCATGTGTTAAGAACAGTATCTGCTACAATATTGCCAGTATTGAAAGATGTATCATCTGCAATCACACACACTGGTTTTACAGAAGGTGAGGGGAATTTAGGCTCTTGGAATGAAGGATCATAAAATGAAGTTACCTACAGGGAGTTTCAAAGCAAATAAAAGGCAGAATTAAATAGGTTCTGAAATCTCATCACTTCCCTTCACAGAAGTGAGTGGGCAGAGTTTCAGGGTACCCAACGAGGTAAGCTGCAGTCACTGAACACAGCTCCTGAGGTCTGAAATCCCACTGCTGGCCCTGCAGGAGCAGTTAAGAGCTCCTAGTACTCAAAAGGCTGCCTAGATAGACCTGAAGCTTGTATTTGAGATCAATGTCAAGAAGTTCTGGAGCTTCACTGATGATGTCAGCACATGAACATGGGAGCTAATAAAGCCAGCATAGTTTCAGCCTTTCTAGAGACAAGAAAAGGCTGATTTGGGATGCATGGGGCAGCAGAGCTCAAAGGAAAAAAAAAAAAAACCACAAAGGAAACCTGGGCAATGTGCTATGGATAAGAAGTGCTAATATACACCTGACTTGTGCTGCCACCAGTGATGAAATGCAGTGATTTATTAGGCCATTGCCTTCTCCTGAGGGTGTTGAAGCAATTGGTCATTCATAGTGCCCAAGGCTAACTTCTTGTGTCCTGCTACATCCAGTTGCTGGTAAATTGGCCACTGAGGATTTTAAATGCTTTGATTTGTTCTGCAGCCTCAGACTGCAATGCAGCCATAGATCACAGGACCTTGTCTTTTGTATGTTCTTCCCTGCATGCTCTAGATCTCAGTATTTCAGACTAATACAACACAATCCTCCTTTCTGCCAACTGGATCCTTTGTGCTAGGACTCTTGTTTGTTATTATGGACTTAAAAGCAGTGAGATTTCAGGAGTACTTAGTACTTATTTCCCTCTCAAAAACAGGTTAGTGAACCTCTCTCCAGAGGTCATTAAAGCTGTATTAAGTTAATAATTCAAATAGCAAATATGGAGGTAATGACTTTTACATTGCAAATCTGATTTTCAAGTTTGTGCATCTATACAGAAAGACACATACGGGGCTGGATTTTCAGTTCTCCACCTGGTCCTGCAGGAGGACTTCCTTGCTGTAGTTTCTTTTGTTCCATCTGTTTTACAACCTGGTGAAAAATAAAATACAGCAGTTGAAAAACTTGAATTTGCCAGCTTTCTCTGATGTGACATAAATTAATACATCTAAACCAAATTTTGCAGTTATGTAAGGTCCTTCTTAGCGGGTTCACTAACTAATAGTGCTGAGTTGCTTTAATTCAGAACACCAGACTATGTTTTGCTGTGGAACCATTAGTTTAGAATTCAGCTGGGACTCATATGAGAAACCAAGGTCAATCTCCAGAGCTGGGAACTGTGGAGAGCCATTACACGTACAAGGACAGAGAAGAGATGAAAACAGATATATGCTGTCCTCACACTATACCTGCTGAAGCTCTTGTTTCTGAGCCTGAAGCTGATCGTGCTGCCTCTGTAGCTCTTCCTTCTGTTTCTGAAGTTCTTCTGCCTTCTTTCTAAGTTCATCTTCCTGCTGGGAAATGTGATTTTCGAATTCCTTCAGCTCGTCCTCGGTGAAGAGCTGCTGTTGATCTAGTGTCTGCAAGAAAATACATACAAGCATTAATACTTTGCCAGGAAAGCACGGGTATTTTTTTATTATTTCCTTACTGAAATTCTTGCACGGTTCACTAAAAACCCTAAGAACAAAATAGTGAGACATGACACTTTGTACATTCAATGAAAGCAGCAAAATAGCCATTTCTCAGCTATTTTCTCAACAAAGCTCTACTAGGGATTTAGATGTAGGAGAAAAAATATCCTCTTTCTTCCAGCTAAACTCTTATCATCCCTTTGAAGTGATTCATAAACAAAATGTCCATTTCCATTTGAAAAGCACGTGTGAAAAGCTCTTCCCGAATCCCCGGGGTGGCGCCAGACCTTTTCCGTTTGTGGAATTCACATCTGCATTACATTTAGGCAGCTGAATGCTACCTTCAGCTGAGGGGTTTAACGACACGCATACCAAAGCAGAGCTGAAAAAAACCAAAGGTCACAGACATGCCGTTTGGTTTCCTGCTCCAAGTGCTGGTAATGGTGCTGCATGTTGTACTTGGAACACATTTTCATTACCTCCCAGCTATCTGGCTCCAAAAATTCCTTTTTCTCTGTAGCTCGCAGGAACTCTTCCAAAGTCACTAGCCGGTCCTTGTTGATGTCAACCTATTTGAGGCAAAAAATTAAGCTCAAGATGAAGGACAGGTTTTGGAGGAGCTAATGTTTTAATTTCATCAATCAAATATAACGATTTTCAATTTTTTGTATGTCCCATTTTCAAGGGAGTGCCCACAACGTTTTCTGAAAACTCCTTTCACAAGCTTAATTATCTTAACAAAAATAGAACTACAAAGTAAATCCTGACATTTTACTTCAAAATTCACTGGCTTTATTGGAAACACTTGTGCTCACAGTCCAAACACTAATAGTGGAATGTATGAATTTTATTTTTTTTTTTTTTTGTGAAGATGTTTTGTAGCTTTCTGGTAACTATTCTGACTCACAGTTACAAAATCATCTCCACCGCTGGAGGGGGAGGTTTTGAAAAACAACAATCCCACCCAACTGAATTGTGATGGAATCCTTTAAGGGGAAGGGAGGAAATGCTTCCCTTTATGACTAATAGATGACCAGGCTTGCTCTGTTCCTCAAGTTTAAGAAATACAGTTGAATACAGAAATATTATGGGTGGAAAACACAGTGGTTCAAAACACCCCCGGTTCCACTCCTGTGTTTCCTGAGCTGAAAACCCATCAGACCCAGCGAAGGTTTTCACTGTCACAGGTGATGGCTTGAGCTCTGAGCCCCCTTTTAAAGGGACAAGGCTGAGCTATATGAAATAAGACATTGCTCTACTCCCTCTTCTCACACCTGAATCTTACCCATCTGCCAAGTGCCAAAGCATATTTAGAGTCTTACTTTTTTGGCATAAAACTCACAAGGAATTGCTGTTGAATCTCAGTATCTGCAAACAACCAAGGCTGTAAAACCTTGTTCTTTCTCTGGAACTCCTTAAATGAAAACTAGTCAGCAGGCATTACATCAGAATACAGGGACAGGGTTTGAGAACTGTAACTTGGCAAAATCCCAGCACAAGCAGCTCCCAGTGTGACAGGCCATCCCTTTCTGCTGCACTTGGACAACACTTCATGGTAGAACTGTATTTTTTGAACACAGAAGGGAATCAGCCCCCACCTCATTCATTACATGTTCTCTCATTCTCAGCCTTTCTTCTTCCATTTCAACCATGTCATCCTCTTCATTCTTGGGATCATAAACTTTTTCTAACTGAAATTTAAAATTAGTACATGTTAGTTTGAAGAAAAGGCTGCTCATTCAAATGGCAGAGCATATCTGGAAAAGTGGTGTGAGATGTTCTCTGTGTGTGCAATTTTCCTCTTTCAGCACAGTATTTAAGCAACAAGTGAGCCTTTCTTTCCTAAGAATGAAGTTTTCAGTTAAGTCATGTGGTCTGTTACAATTCAGTGCTGTGGATGTCACAGTCAAGTTGACCTCAGTGTGCAAAGTCTGATCCTACATTTCATTCAAAGCAGGCAGAGGTTCCAAGTGGTTTCTGGAATGGGAGAGAGTGGCTTTTTCACCAGGGCATGCAGCTGACCCTGTAAGCATTCAGGGTATCACAAGACAAATTCAGTGCCAAATTTAATGGCTCACTTCTCTCCTTGCACAATGTCTTTCTGGAGAGTTCATGCTTATGTGCTTCTACTTGGCTTTCTCAGGCATTTCTCTGACTTGACTTGCCCAGCCACAGGTAATTTTAAGGTCTCAGACTATTAGTTTTTATACTACAAAACTATAAAACAGTGAGACACCTGTCAAAAGGGACTGCACTGTATCTTCATTGTAGTGAAGGAGATTGTGGCAAATTATTGTACCAGAGTTAAATTTTCAGACAACAAAAGTAAGAGCCTGTCTACTTTATCAGATGTACATGTGCTTCAAACTAGCCAGACATAAAATAGATTAAACTTCCATAGCCACTTCCACAGTGCTGTCCCTGAGCCAAGGCACACAAGTGTGACCCTTTTTCTCATCAGGCTTGTTGATGAACACTGATTGAGCACAGGTGCCCAGCTTCAGAACCTTTATCAGGCTGCATCTAGGGAGAGCAATTCTCTGCACTGCAATTTACACAGGTAATACCTATCCTGCAGATTAGTTATAGAATCTCCAGCAAGCCTGGGGCAGAAAAATACATGAGCACTAGATTTCTGATGTCTGACTCCTATTCTTCAACTACTTTATTTTGCCTGCTTTTTGCACTTTTGTAGAAATATTAAGGATGCATGAAACTTGGCATGAATATTCTATTTTGTAGTCCAAAGCCCCTAGATATACTTGGGAAAAACAGACGTCCCTGTAACCATTTACTGATAGAAGATAAGATTCTGAGTAATTTTTTTACCTCTTTAGTAAATAGAGCTTCTAATTCTTGCTCATCCAGGAAACCATCATTATTGACATCTACAAAAAGAAGTTTCAAAAATACAAATAGAAAGTCATACATGTAATAGATCTCCAAGAGTTAAGTAAGGATCAGTGTACACATTTAACAAGAAGCTGGTTACAAAGGTTGTTTCTGCTGCTTAGGTTTTTAGCAGGCATTGGCTGGAGAGTCACTTTTGGTTGGTTTGGACAAGTCTGGAGCAATCTCTCTACTTCTTAGATTAGCAAACTGAAATAGGTCACCGCAGGATTGCGCAGACTGCAACTGCCAAAAAATATTGCTGAGAACAAGTTGTCCCCAGTTAACCACTAAATTTGTAATTAGTCTCAGGAGCAAGCACCAAGATTCCGCAGAGAAACTTTAACTGACAATATGACTCCTTAAAAACTTAAAGAACTACATGAACATCTATATAAACATGCAGTATTTGAGATACATGTAAAATGAATTTTCATGACAAATGTAGAGAGAATACTTGATAATTAATGATCCATCTTTTATCCTACATTGTGCTCTGAATACTGTTACACTACCTCTGAAATTAAAAGAAAATATCCACTTCAAATTATTACCCAGTATTTTTGTGTCATTGCTTCAAAGTTTTCTATATACTAAGCTCTAAGGTAACAGGGGATTTCAACTATTTCTGTTTTGGTAGGTTTTGCACAAAGAAGCTACCAAAAAATTTCAGAAAGCTATCTTTCAAAATCTCCTTCTAGAAAGAGATAAGATTTAGGAACTATAACTAGGTGATCATTAAGGTCCTGTTAGGATGATGATTAAGGACCCAAACCATTCTATCATTCTGTAATAATACATGCTTACTATAAGTTATAAACTGAGATAAACATTTAGACCCAAACTAGAACACTTTTCTTTATCTAAATCATCATCTTTGAGATTCGTCACATTCTGTGTTCTGTTCAACGCTTTGCAGCCTAGTGCCAGGCAGGATCTACTCAGGGGCACTTCATGAGGAAGCATTTAACAATATCAGAACATAAATGTCCTTGGTGACATCATCAGATGTAAAGCAAGGTGTTCATTGAGATGCATCCTTATCTCTGCTACTGCTTGCTGCTTCTAGCTGCCCATTCCTCAGAAATCTAGAGGCAGGATTAGAGGGTTTTTGTTTTATCAAGGGAATATTGCAATTTCTGAATAGCCTTGGCCCTTCTATGAGCACTCCAAAGATTAGGAGCATCTGGTAGTTAACTGCAGAGATGATGAGAAAGCAAGTTTTGCCCCTACACAAATCTCTGAGGATTTATTCCCAGTACCTACTGTGCAAGCAAAGTTATAGATATGGACAGCCCTCTAAGTACCCACACTTCCCTAGGGAATCACTACTGGGTTTTGCCTGTATTATTTTAGGAGTAGTTCAACAAATCTCTGAATGTTTTCAAACTCCATTTAAAACATTGCACAAAATTTACAAATAGTAACAAATATTTTCTCCTCTGTACTATTCAGATTCATCCAAGTTGCTTGAGGTGTAAGACTTCATCCTATGACAAACTTTTCCTCAGCAGAATGTAACAAAGTCACTTCAATTGTTCATTAGATTAAAACTAAACCTCTTACCGTGCAACTTGAAAAATGTTTTGGGATCAAATTCATTAGGATCTAGTCCATCTGCTTCTTCCCACACCTCTTTCAGTTGATCTTTGCTTCCCTATAGATTGGTTACAAAGAAAAACTATTCAAAAGACAATTTAGTGTAATTTCCCTGCATTACCTTTGCATTATGGTTTCTCTGAAAGGCTTGCTTTATTTGCTGACTAGTCATGTGGCAAATGGAATCAGTGGCATTTTCTTTCCTTCCCTTTTGGTCAAGTCTAATACTTTCATTAGACAGAAAGGCCCAGGGAAAGAGGGAGTGTAAAGGAAATGCACATTCTGTGGAAAGGAGCACCTGTAATAATAATCAGTCATGGCCACACAGCCCCATCCAGAAACAACAGCTGAAGGGAGCTGAATTATTTTGCCTTTCCTAGAGCAAATGGTACTGTGATGCAGCTCCTTGCAGGCCAGGCATACCACACAGGCATCCCTACAGTTTTGAATACTGTTCTGGCTTCTTCCTTATGAATTTCAGTGTCTATGTAACAATTCTGGCAGCAAATAGCACATCTGTACAGAAAGAATGGGAGTGTATACAGTGGGGTTTGTCATGCTCTCAGCACTGTGCCCATGTCAGTAAGAGGAGGAAAATGATGAGAACAAACAAAATACACCCTTCTGTGTATTAGCTTTTTCACTCTGGAAAGGAAAGCTCACACACAGTCTAGTAAAACAGGCTGTGGCCTTACAGGATGGTGAACTTTAGGGTGATCTCCATGTTTTTTCTTCATCTCCTCAAATTTGGATTCTTCTCTCTTCCTCTTTTCTTCATCCAGTGTTTTTAAATACTCTCTCCTCTCGTGTTCTTTCATCATCTCGTATTTCTTAAACTCCTCATGGCGAGTCTTATCATAGTTTTCCAGGTCACTTGTAGCCTAAAAATAGGGATATATGCAGACAGATGATTATGTAACATAATCTGACATTAAAACCACAGTATTGTTCAGATCCATGGGCAAGGCTGGCCATGTTGCCATTCACGGCAGACTGGCTGGGGGCTCCTTTCACGTGACAGTGATGCAGAAATGTCCCTCCTCCCTTGGTCATTTTCACAGAAGTTAATTTGTAATGGTTCATCTGTTGGACAATTTTTGCAATTACATGGTGCTGTAAGAAGGCTTCAAGGTGTCCTTTCTCATCAGTGAGTAATAAATGATCTCAAGTTAATCAAGTCCTACACTAAGAGTACCATTAACTCCTTGATCATTTCAGAATAAGAACATTTGTAGCTTATCCTACAGTTTAATGACAAAAGTGCCTTCATTAATAATTTGATTTAGTTTGCAGCAGCTTAACACAGATTAAATTAAAAAGCCCCAACAATTAAACTGAGAGAAAGGGTATGAGAGGAGAATTTCTGACAAGTTCTTGTATAGAGTTTAAAGGTGTGTCATTTTCATACAGGCCAAAGCATTAAAGGATGTTTTGGTAGTGCTTTTCAAAGTAACATGTTTACATCTGATACTGTCTCTCCACTATTTGCATTTTACTTTTCAGATTCACTGTATGTTTTAAAAATAATTCCAAAGCTAAGACCCCCTTAAGTATCCATTACACCCTGTCAGTATCTTGGTTGAGAAATGAGAAGACAAAACAATAAAATATGTAATAAAAAAAGAACTGTCCTGTTAAGGGTATGCTTCTCCAAGCCAACCAGAATTTTCCCAGAAGAGATGTTCAGAAATGTTTAGAAAAATTAAAATATCTCTATAAAAATAATTCTACAGAAAATGGAGATAATTTCTGTGTCATTTTTTTACCCTTGGAAGATTTTATCTTTCAATTTGTTTTGAAAGTATTAAAAATTGCTCAAATTCTCATGTCAGACATGCAGTGCTCTCTAAATTATATTTAAGACACTTTTCCCCCTGGGAAGTTTATTTTTCTGTAGCAGTTGAAAAAAAGCCACGTCCTGCTTAGCTTAACTGCATCCCCTGAACAATCCCCACACACCTGTGACTGATACTGAATCTGCTGAACAGACACTGAATGCCATGCCCAGTATAAGCAACTTCTAATATTGCTATCTCAAATTCTATTCTGCTGTGGTTTTGCATCTTGATGTATATATAGGAGATCCCAAAATTCATATGGCTGGGCTAGGGATGATTATTTACATCATTCTGTGAGAGTCCTATATCATTTAGAAACAGAAATCAGAAAAAACACTTGGGAAAAAGGCACCCCTATCTCACCTGTATTTAATTTAAAGGCTCTCAGAAAGGTGTGGTTTATTCCCAAAGTTGCTTGTACTGGCATGTGAATGTTAAGTCTTGTTAAGGTGACATCCCAAAATTTATGGAGTCTTTTGCATCATAAACACTGGGCAACAGTTTTCAAGTGTGCATGGAGGCAACTGACTTTTTTCTGAAAATGAAAACTGCATGTCATTTATAAAATGTGCTATATAGGAAAGGACTTCCCTTTACAGAGGTAAAAAGCATAAAAATTAAAACCCGAACTCCCACAGCAGTTCAAATCTGGCACTCACTGCTTTGATCAGCATATCCAAGTCTTTAGGTTCAAAGGTGTCAGGATTCTGATGGTTCAGGTGCTCAAACTGCTTAAGGAGAGCCTGATGGTCTATACCAGTGTCTGCAAGAACAAGGTATACATGTAAAACATTAAAATAAATTTGAAATCCAGAAAAATCACAAAGTCTTTCATATGGGAGCTTATGCCGTGTAATACCTGAGGTTCCCTGAGGACTGAGTAATTTTTTCATTGCTGGAGGAAACTACATTTCTAAAGCTGCTTTTCCTAGAGCAGGTTGACAAACTTTATAGCAGTTTACACTACATTCCTTCTGATGGGTCAGTGCTGCATTGCACCCAGTCATTTTACATGCACAAATTACAGGTCTGTTTCAGCAAGAGAAAGTATGATCAATTTGAGCTTTACAAAATAAAAAAAAAAATATTCTCTATTATATAAATTGGATAGTTGACATTGTGCTAACAACCTGCATATTTTTCCTGAATGGGGACTGTCCTGGATGTTTTGCAAATGACACATCTGGCCAAAGATTTATGTATGATATGGTGTAAAATTGTATCCAATCAAATAAGCAGATAGTTAAACTTCATTTGTAGAAAAAAGAGAAGTTCAAGACAGTGGAGAGTAAGGTCTTGTGTCTAAAAGTTGGAAACATTTTCTCTTCCTTGTGACAGGAGTGATACCCACCAGCATCAACACACAATGCACTAAAACTAAACACATTTCTACCACAGCTTCTCTAGCTGTTACCATGGTCTCTGAACACTAATGCTACTCTCTTATGCTTATGTTAAGTACAGCAGTTGTGACAACCTTTTACTAGATGACTTAGCAAAGAATATTTTATTTGTTTGAAAAAATAGAAAATACATTTTTGAATATACTGATCTTTCACAAACTATCTGCTTTACAGTCAAAGCTGTGTTTGTATTAACACAAAACAGCAAACACTGGCCAGGGCAGATTTCAGGCATCATTCCCCCCTGGTGAGATCATATTTTCTGTTTAAATATATGTGCCTTTGTCTGTGTTTGAAACATTTTCAGAAGTGTATTAACAGACTTAAAAAAAACCAACAAACACTAAAAAAAAACAGCCCCAAAACCATTTTTCTCCATTTCTTACATTTAGGGGAAAAGATTAATTCTATTTGACACTATTTACTTGCCAGATTACTGTATGATCTGAGATTCAACTCCTAACATTCTTCTGGCCTACTGATCAGTCAAGTAGGATCTTGGTGAAAATGTTTAAAAACACAACTGGATGAGGATTGAATATATGCTGAACAGAACCTCAGATCTAGTTGTCTGGAGTTTTTTAAACCTGATCCAGCTAAGAGGAAAGAAAAGAGCAGGGGTTTGTGTGCCTTTTTTTCCTTTTTTGTAGATCAGACAGATGACTAAGATACTAAATGGTGTTATAGGGAAAGGATTACAAGAGCAAATATAAGGAAATCAAACCACTCTGCCTGCTGCTATTTTAATGCTCTTTGTGCATATTCCAAGATGCTGTCTAGGTGTGTAGATGCAGCTGTATTTTATAGTTAATCTGGCCATACTTGTATATGATGTGAAGCAGTCATGGGCAAAGCTGACTATAAACTTTGCCAAGTATTTTTACATCTTAGTACTCATCTGAATATTCTGAACTGCAATAATCTGTTCCCAAATGTAAGATCTCACATTTACACTGTAAGATCTGAGGTGTTGGGGGGAATCTTTTTCTAAAGCACACTCTGTTAGTTACTATTGATTTATGAAAGCAGAGAAGGGTGGAAGTAATCAGTCCATTAAACTTCACAATACCTAAAACAACTATGTACACACCCAGGTATCATTAGCTGCTGTCACCTAGCTGTGAATGTCACCATGATGTCAGTGGACTGCTTATCTGCAACAGGAACAACACCCCCATAAACACTTTTTTGCCACATCTAAATTAGCTTAGCCTGCAAGACAGACCCTTATTCTGGGAGTATTTTATTTGATGCATTATGTATTCAATTTCTTGGGATCCCCCTTGAAAACTTGCAAACATCTTTGCAACAATAAAATACTGACAAAAAAATTCATTTTCTACCCCCTAAGGATATGAAATACTGTGTCATGGTTTTTATCTTAAACACAGTCCTACTGTTACTGATTCTCTGTGAGTAATCTATGAACTGATGCATTACAAAAATAAGACGTTAAAAACAAGAGGTAGAAGTATCTGAAAAACCCAGTGACAAACAAGTTCAGTTATTTATAAAACAGAGACGTCTTTTCTCTTCTCCCCAGTTTCCTATAAAGACAGGTCTTTAATGGCTCCAGGCCAGCTCAGAAAGGACACTCACTCTGTTTAGTCATTACTGGTGACAACAAACAATGCACAACTGCTGGACTTTGACATTTCTCTAACATAATTCCATCTGTTAACTCACCTAAATAAATTCTCTACTCTTACCTTGAACAGAATCCATTTTAGCTTTAATTAACATTCTTAATCTTGCTACCTCTTGCCTTTTTAGTTCATCCAGCCGTGTTCTCACATGGTGGCTTACTAAATCAAGCTCTCTGCTTAGCTTTCCACTCTGTCAAAAAACAAAAAAGTCATGCATAAACACTGGAAGAAAGAAGCCTTTAGGATTCCCATTAGACATAAACTACAAGACAGCAGGCTAATGGCAGTCTCTGGCAATACTGTAGCCCACACTCTAAGAATCTAAACATTTTTTCAAAGAGCAGATTCAAAATTTTTATGCCTATGGTTATGGAAACAGAGAGGAATCCTAAAAGCTTTCAGAAAAGAGAATTTCTAAGCATCTTGCTCCTCCAAAGAGCAAGACCACAACCTTGAGGGAGCAATGCCTAATAGCATTTGTGACAAATTTCTTGATCAAATACTCTCAACTGAGTTCAGAAGAACTATGAGAAGCCCACAAAGTGCCTCATCCTCTCAAGGAGGGCTGTTAGGCTTGAGGGAAGGTAAAGAACTATGAGAAGCCCACAAAGTGTCTCTCAAGGAGGGCTGTTAGGCTTGAGGGAAGGTAGGAGGCAGCAGCAGCCCCGATGTGTATTGCAAGAACCTGGAAATGGAGAGGAATCTCCAAGGCTGACCAGATACAGCACAGAAGGAAAAGATACCTCAAGCTGCCAACAGCAACAGGAGGGATTTAAGGAAACACAAAAAGCAGGATCTCCTCCTTCAGTCTGTCACTTTAGACTGTTTCCTACTTGTCCCTTCCCACATTTCTAGCTCCTGAAGGGGCACTGCACAACAGCCACAGGAAGAAAGAATACAACATACATGGCTCATGATTATAGATTTAATTAACCTCAATTTAACTCTTTTTTTCAAACCTACCTTTATTTCTTCTATGTCAGCAGTCTGGAGTTTCTCCCTGAAATGCTTATCAGTTTCCAAGACATCTATTACTTGCCTGAGATATTCATCATAATAAAGTCCTGTATCCTTTAGAAAAAAGAAAAAAAGGGAAATTGAGGAAAGACTACACTCACAAACAATTGTTTTGTTTAAATACAGTTATTAAACTGACACCCTAATCTTAGCAACATAGCACTATGCTGTCTTACATATGTTTGTGTTTTCAGATTTGCATCATTGCCCTATAGCAATTTATGATCCATTGTTTCAGCAACTGACAAGGAAGAAGAGAAAAATGATTAGGAATCCTTGTAATACACAAGCATCTGTCATGTTAATGTAGTGTGTAGCTTTTTTAAAAGAATGCAGTTCATCTGTTACTGTTCTATTTGAAACACTGAGCTGGGATCAGTGAGTGGAAATTCCTAAGGCACCACCCAATCACTCAAAGTTAGTCTCTGTGGGACAGTTATGTGCTTCCTCTTGTAATCTGGGAATTCCTTCCATGTGCCAGTTCACCTTTAGCAGTTCACTGAAGAAAATAAAGAGCAAATTTAAACAGAACATCCCCACAGTAGATGGCACACACACTGACAACACTGGGGAATATTAGTTTCCTTCTAAAGGAGTTTGCTATATCCAGATTACTAACAATTAGGATAAACACAATCTCACATCAGTTTCTTTATACTTACTGGATTTTCTACCTTCTCTCCTTCTACATGGCCTTCTGCTTTGACTTTTGTCTTATCTATGTCTATAGGTACAGCTTCCAAGGCCATTAGGAGACATGTCATCAGCAGAAGACACTGCTGGGGCAGGACAGATAATCTCTTCATCTGAAATGAGACCAGGTCACAAAAATTAACATAAATCATGTTAACCTGCTGTACTGAGGAAAAATTTTTTACATTCCTATATAGATACCTGTAATATCCCACTTTCCTCACAATGTCCTGCCCTCAAGGAACACAAAAACTCCAAGAAGTAATACAGCCTTAATTTCTGAAGGCCATTCTTAGGCAAACAGATTTCCTGAGATTTGGCTTTTGTGCCAAACCAAGCTGTAAATGGTGAGGGTTTGTAACCTGCTGAGGCATTAGGCTTCCACTTTTGTGCCAAACCTAAGCTGTAAATGGTGAGGGTTTGTAACCTGCTGAGGCATTATCAATAACAGATGTAACACCTATTTAGGATGTTCAGGTCTCACATAACTAATACGGACATTCCTACTTCGATCATGCCTTTGCTGAATTTATTGGATAACTCCTAAAGATCATTTAGGGACATTGAATCAGACCTTAGTATAGTAATGCCAGTGGATTTTTATGCTTCAACACTGCAATACTTTGCCTAATTTGGAGTCAAGATCCCCTCCAAAATTTATTTGCAGGAAGAATATTTTACAATCCATGTTATATCTGTATTTCAGGTGGGTAGAGATTCCTGAAAACTGGTATTCACATGACCTGACATTGTTGCTGAGGCTGGGGCTTTATTAAGATGCCTTTCTTTAGTGTCTGATACTGCAGAGGTCCTTCAGGATGATACAGCTCCAATTCCCCATCCCAAAGAAGGGCACAGCCTTTCTTTAGTGTCTTAAGTGGAGCTAACTCACACATAATTTGATGAGGACTGAGCAATCTGAGTTCTTGACCTTTGTCTCCTTCCCCTCTATTAAACTTGAAAATAATTCATTCAGAAGCTGGTAAGATGGAATAATTAGATAGAGTGAGTACAGGGAATCCAGCTAAAAAACGTAATGATAGTAATCCAGCATCTGACAGCAAGTCAGGCTCTTGAGATAATCTGGCCAGTTCAGACTGTGACACTCCACTATCTACGGATATTCTATAGGAAGTTTGAGCAAACTCCAGTGTTACATTGGTAATATAAATCACTTCCTAGGAGGTGAAAGTTGTCAGAAAAAGTCTGTATAAAATTAGCTTAGATATGCCAAAGAAAAAGACATAATATTGAAGAAACGTGCAGTCAAATAAATCAAAAGTACACCTGCTACAAGAGGAATTTCTGTACAAGTGCTTTAGCAAGTCATGCGAGGAATTCTGTCAAAAGTATTTATGTCCACCAAGAACAAATCTCTTTCTAGGGGGAGGGGAGAGAAGGACAAACTAATAATGGTGTCAGTGCCAGTTTTCCTGACTACATGATCTGGTACTTGACAGAAATGCATTGCTTCTGCTTGGGTTAAGCTGCCCTTTACTATGGCAATAAATGTTGATAATGGTACACACTTAATATTAAGCATTGTTGACACCCTTTATTCCCCCTTATTCAACGCTAGGAAAACAAAAGCACTCATATGCAAAAAAAAAAAAAAAAAAAAAAGGCATTCAAGACATCTAGAGATATTATTTCTTTTGTTGGGGATGAGGAAATAGCTGGAGACAAAATATATCCACCTATGTATCTATTGTTTTGTATGTCAAAGGCTCAAGAATTACAAAAAATTATGTGAATTCTTTAAAACTGTTTTTTCTTAATCACATCTTCAGCAAAAGGAGCCTAAATGGATTATGCTCTATGCTCAAATACCTGTTACTTGCATTTTTAAAAATAATTAATATCTGATCATTACCAGATGGGATAGCAGGAGCTATTGTTGCTGCCACATTGAGCATTTGAAATTGAATGTCAGCACTAGTGTCAGATTCACAAATCTGACTAGCCTTGCTGGAACTGATAAGTTAATTTCTACACCTCTACACAAACTGTTGGCTTGCAGGGACTTACAAAGCTAATGAGTGAAAGGGTTAGTTATTCACCACTGCTTTTAAAAATGCCAAAGTTCCAGTATGTTGGATGTTTTTAATTACAGAATATTGTCTTAAAAATGCTGTTCCTAGGTTTGTAATTTCAACAGGATTTAATCACAGGAGATGATGATAATACCTAACAAATACTAGGTCTTCAAGTCTCCTAATCTTGATGTAGATGTCAAGACTCAGAGTAGTTCTTGGTACTAGGAGTAAAACAAAAACCCATTTTGCTGAAGTTCTTGCAGAGTATGAATGGGCTGTCTAGTAATTTCTAAGTGAAAGGATTAAGCATATTTCAAGTCTAGGAAACGCATGTGAAACAAAACTAATAAACCCCAAAATACTTATCAAGTATATAATAATTATATATACATACACTCTTAGCATTTTGCAAAACATTTTTTAAAAGGTCATGTACGTTTGAAGTATTCACTTTAAAACAGTGTAGCCTCTGGAACCTGACAGATGAGTATTTTTCCAACCAAAATATTTTCATATATACAAATTATAGTAATAAAAATGATTTAACATTATTATACACTGCTCTAGTTATGTGTGTAAACAGTGTTTTAGAAAATCATTATGAGGCTTGGAAATGAGCATTGCTGAAGCCCATCAGGTGATGGCAGGGAAGCACAGAAAGCCAGAAACTCAGGTGCTTCCCACAGGTCTGGCATTGACTCGTTCTTTGCCTACGGCAGATGCTAAAGCCAACACTTTCAACAATGACACCTGGTCTTTGATCCATTTTAAAGACATCTCTTAAAGCTCCTGACCTACAACTCCTAGTAACGTGACCAATTGTGGAGACAAGGATTGCCAGTTTAGGTTGAAGAAGGGCACACTTAGATTTTTCAGACTTTTTCTTCTCCTGAGGAGCACTGATAGATGAAATGTCCATGCTGAGCTGAAACAACTGAGGTAACCATGCTGGTCTGCCAAACCCCATGCGAGGGAGCACTCATCACCTCCAGATCTGGGATGGGCAATTGGAGCTGTATCATCCTGAAGGATCTCTGCAGTATCAGCAGAGTTGATCTATCAAAAGGCCTAATCAAACTCAGTCCCACTGGCTCTGCTGACATTCTGTGGAATTTGTGCTCATGGGCAGTGGGGTTTTTTTAAGCTTTGTAATTACATGCTGTTATACTGGATGATATCACAGTATGTTCTTCATATCTGTTTGATGTAATAGGCTGCTCAGAAGACTTCACCAAGCAGTTCTGCTTCAGGTTGTGCAGTGGATGTTTTTATTGTAGCTTTTTTGATAAAACAAGCCAAAAAATTTCACACATAATGGGAAGAATTAAAAGCAGAGGAGTCTCCAAAATGGGTAAGTAAACAATATCTCTATCATCACAGCTGACTGTGCAGACAACTATGCCTAACACAGCATTCCCCACAGTATTTTGAGGAACCCAACTGTGATGTAACAAGTAAATTAGAAATACATTTATTAGAATAAAAAACAATTACCTAGTGAAGACAGAGTTACTGTATTTAGGTATCTACTACTCCAAGACTATACTCACCAAAATTTCCTTAAGAAAAGCAGGTGACTAAGGCATGAGTCAGCCTTTAGAGTGTGCCAGTGTCACCTGAGTCACTGGGCACCTTCTACTCTGACGTGTACTAAAAGAGAGAAACCAGCCCCATTGCAAAATCTAACATTAATCACCTGCCAGAAAAACTCAGCACAATTCTCAAATTCAGCAACTGTAGGGAAGAGTGAGAAAAGGCTGGATGAGAAGAAAAGTGGGGGTTCCCCTTTTTGTTCCACCAAGTGAGTTCATTCCACTCTCAGCCTGCTACCAGCTGCTTTTAAGAGTTCTGGATTTTTGAAAACCCAATCCTGGATGCCCATCCCTTCTCAGGCATTCAGAGTGCATCCATGTCAGGACTGTGGCTTTTTCTGCACTAGAGCCACCAAGTGAGCAATCACAGGGGGTGCTGCAGAAGAGGGGCAGTGTCACTTTGCTCACTGCCATCAGCAGTACGTAATGCACAGCCATGTGGCATATTATTATTGTTATTGTTACTATTACTACTTCTATAAGCTTTAATAGAAATATAAACTGTTATGGATCTGCCCAGCTGACCGCTTTCTCAAAGACAGATGGAGAGAGTTAATGTTACAATTGTCATCTGGAAATTAAGAGATTTTAGTCAAAGACAAGTAGCCCACCTAGATGTAAAGGTAGCATAACTGTAATCTGCTGGTATCAGACATCAATCTTATCTTTACAAGAGGGACAAACAAACATTCCCACTTGTACATAAAGACAACTAATCATAAAAGTAGTGCTCTAGAACTGACAAATACTGTAGTGTATAAGCAAAGCCAATAGCCTAAGCTTTCAGGGAAAAGGAAAAATAGCTTCTCCAAGTATTTCAAAACAGAGTGAGAGCTAAAAGAACGAGACAGCAGAAAACAGAGCCACCAATGTAATTGCATGAACAGAAAAATACAACTGGAAAAGAAAAGCTGCAGGCTGCCTGTCAGCAATCCTGATTATTTGTTAATCACAAATTCCTACCAACATCAGTCAAACAGGATTGAGCATTTAAATTATAAAGAGCTACAGGCTTTGAGAAGTAACTTCAAAATACTACTTCTAAAGTTTGTTCTAGCAACAGTAACACAAGCTGCTAAACACCTATACAAACCCCAGAATTACTTTTCATTAATTTAGCACCCACTGCCCAGAAAACAGCATCATGCAGGCACTGGTATCTCTATCACCTTCCCAGCAAAGCACAAGTATTTTTAAAGAAGTAATACCCAATGCCAAAGTTTCTAAAACTGAGATAGGCAAAACAACATAGTAAAATCAGGATGCAATGTCTGCACATGTAGAAGCTCAGTGGATGGTTATGATGCAAGACAGCACAACACTGTAAATGTCACGTCACACATTTGCACTTGCCAAACCCATGTGCACCATGATGAGCAATGAAAACATAAATCTGGACTCACATAATACACAATAAACCTACCCATTCACAGATTTCACATATGCCTGCTCTGATATGGAAGTAATTAAACCTGTGTGAGACACAGTGCAGATGTGCAGGATAACAGTAATGTTCTCTACAGTCATGACCAGAATGTGACTTTCTATTTTTATGCTTTGCACTGGAGAAATGAACAATCTTCACAGGCAATGCTGAATTAAAAAAAAAAAAAGGGCCAGGAAATAGATAAAATATATTGACTGATTTTTATTTTTCTAAGAATATTCCACCCTCAGTACTGGAATGAGATGTAAAGTATTCTCTCATCAGTCTGCTCCAGTCACCTAGCATCTTCAATCTGTTTTCACCTCTCTGAAACAGCAATATACCTGTCCAAGTATCACAGTTTAAACAGGAAATGTTTCATTCCATGGGCTTTTTCCTTTTTTTTTTTAAATTTGCAAATCTATAAATTGATCCACTTACAGAACCCTAAAAAAACTACATTAAATGTTTGAAATTAGGCAGAAACAGATTATTCTTCTGCCATATTCTGTTTGGAAACACCAGTGTTAGTTCCCCCCAGTCTTTTTCAGGAGCACTTGCTGCACAGACACCCTAAGCCATCATACCTTAAGGAGGGTATGGAAGTCCATGAACCAATACTTAATGCATCTTCTTCACACTGTTTGTCCAACGAGTTAATCTGGCATAAGCACAGCTGACATGTGGCAGCAATTTTGAGAAGCAAGTGGAAAAACCTGTTTGCACTCACACTGTTAAGCCATAAGCCTCTGGCTGTGGTGAGAGTGTCTCTTGGTCACCAGTCCCCCACACTGGCTTTGCCCCTTGAACACATGAGCAGCATGCCATGCAAAGGGAAATGGCTACAAGCTGCAATAGCTTTCCCCATACAAGTGAATGTTCCAAACACAAAAACACCTGCACCCTTCCCTTCCCAAGGGATCTGATCCTTTTAGAAGTTAATGTGTAAGCCATTAACTATTACAAGCCTGCTATCATTGTTATGTAATTATATATATATATATATATATATATATATGTTTCATTATCCTTCAAGTATTTTCCTTTTCTCTTCTGTCAATGCTGTTCACTAACTGTATGATTCAGATGTTGCTTTTTGTTCCTGGCCAATATCCAACAGGTTTCACACTGGCCATGCTGTCCTAATCTTTTGTTAGAGCACATCCCACTCAGTTCTCTGCACCAGGAGACCTTCCTTATTTTTTCAAGAAGCATTTTAATCTTGCATGGAAATAGTTCTTTATTAAACAGTATTATTTAAGTACATAAAGGCAGCAGAATCCTTTTTTCTCATCCTGTTTACTTGACTTAAATTATTTTGAGTTCTATTTGTTACCTTTTCACTGCACTCGAGTGCACTGCTTAATTGTCTTTACAACTAAAAGCTGGCTGATGGAAGAGCTGCTTTTTTCAGCTCCCCAGAAAACACAGCATGCCTCAACTGTGCCTCGTACAACATTTACTGAAAGAACCTCCTTTTAAAAAATGCACCTCAGCTGCTTTATTAAATGAGTCATCCAATAGTAACACAAACTATGAAAGCTCGAGTGGGAAAGAGCAATGTTATATTCAAACCACACACAGTATAGGATAATATCATGAAACAACACAACTGTGTCCAGAAAGAAAGATGGCACAGAAGCAAATTGTATGGCTGATGCCACACACGTGCTTAGCTCTGTCCTAAGGGAAGTCTGAAGACTTTTCTTCTTGTTGTAATGCTAATGGTTCATAATTTAAAAACCTGTGTGCACACATATATATTTATAATATTACCTGCCTCCAAGGAATTTCCCTCTCCTTACTTCAAAAAAATAAATACTTCTGTCTACAAAGCTACCTTAGTAACTGAAGAATGTTGAAATATTAGCCTTGTTTTTCAAAGCAACTTGCTTGGTTTTATTAACTCTTTCCAACAAGATTGCCTCAAAAAAAGATTTATGAAGCCAATAGTCAAGCAAAAACTTGTACTGAATTCAATGCATACTTTGTAAAAATCTTATCAGCTTCAAAAGGAAATTTTAAAAAAATTACTGCTACAACTATAGCTTCCTGCACTCTAATTTCAGTTCCCACACAGAATGTAATACAACAGTACACTTGGAGTCTCATAAATTCATTTTTCATAAATGCAAATGGCAATATTGTCAGTGCTGACGTCAAAAGCAACCTCAAGTGTGCTACTACATGCAAACAATGAATTAGCTTAAACTCTAACTCAAATCAAAAAGTATTTCAATTATTCTAACGATATGCATTTCGCTCTAGTCAACAACAACTGATGATGCTAAAGTAAGCCCTGAATGCCCCAGGAGTCCAAGGTACCTTTTCCCCCACTTTGAAAAAAAAGGGGGGAAAAAATAGTTACATTACAAATTACATAGTTACATTACTATACAAAATAGTTATCCAGAATAAATCTAAATCTAATGATGTGGAGCCAGATGTAAAAATATTTAGGTACTTAAGGAGATTTATGTTCACAATTTGTTAATTTCCATTGATTTCTACTTGCTTAGAAACAAAAACATCAACATCCCATTCTACTTTTATAAAGATTAGCAGGAGAAATGCAATCATTAAAAGGGTCTACACTTCTCTTGAATCACCTATGATGAAGAATATTTACAACTGAATATGATTAAAATAGTTCTAATGAAATGCAGTTTCTTTTGCTCTTCCAACTGTCAAATCACACACATATGGAAGAGCAAAAACTATTGAAAGGAACATGACTTTTGACTGATTTCATTTGGTTTGGCATTAGCACCTGGTCATGCCTTTATCTACATAAAAGCACACCCCTATGCAAAAGGCTGGTGTCTGCTACGTATCTGACAGCAACTTCAGAGGAATCTTTTCTGCTTGCTGAGCTATCAATGCTGGGAGCACAATGCCTCACTAGATCAAACACCTCCACACAGGAGTTCAAGTCATAGGAAGTCCTGATAGCGGCTTCAAACTTAACAATAAATGATTTTATCTTTCTTATGTAAAGTGCATTTGTTTAGTCAGCAAGGCTCTGAAACTACTGCGTCAATATTTCCACACCTCTGACAGTTAAGTCAATATATTCTACATTTTTTATTACCTGAGAGTAATTACTGCTCTCCACTTTCATGGCTGCAATTTCAGTTAGGTATGTCTGGTGGGAGGTGGGTAGTTTTTGACAGAAAATCTTTAATTTGGCTTATATGAACAGAAAGTTTATGTCAGCAGCACTACCAGTACTGCACAGCCAAGGTATGAAAACTTACATCACATGCCTTTGCATCCAATTGCTAATGTAAGTTTTAAGCAGACCCAACAGGCAATATAAATTTGTAATTTTATTTCCCTCTTTTCTTTGTTTGTCTTGATTAGAAGTTAATGAGATTCATATTGCTCTACATCAACACAATTTGTTTAAACTTATAGGTTTTTTTTTAGTACAATTATCTTTTTTATTCTGAAACAAAATACTGCTACCATCCTGGAGATTATGGAAGCAAGTAAAAGGGAAAATAGATGATGACAAGAGGCACTGTATGTAACCAGGCTAGTAATCTGTGGCCCACAGTGGACGTAGCACTGTGACTGTGCAAGATCATTGTGCAGTAAATGACAGTAAAAAACATAACAGGATCTTAAGTGCTCACAGAAATGTGGGCTTCTCCCATAAACTTTCTGTGAGTTTTAAGCACAAATGTTACAACAAAACCTGGTTTCAAAGTCTTTGAGTGGCTCCTATCCAGTCTCTACAGTATGAATCTTCCCTGTGCTGCTTTGTTTGGTCGACAGGGACAGTCACTTCAGAATTCAGAGTAGAGGTGCACTAATATTGAGTCAGCTACAGGACTTGTCTTACACTGAGAGAAAAGAAAGTGACAAAAAACCACAGAACTCCACACTGAACTTGATACCATGGGTGCACAGACACTTCACTGTTGATACTGTGATGGTTTCATGTTGAAACTACTGGATGTTATCTTTCCATAGCGAATACTTGTAAGTCAAACAATGAAGGCTTTTTTCTCCTACAGGCTTATTAAATAATGTTGCCAAACACAATCTCTTTTGAAAGCCTTAGCCATGTTCATTTCAGCAAAAAAGATTATCTCTCTACAGCCATATCCACTTTTGGAATATATCTGAGTACAGCAGGCAGCCTGGCACTGCAGTACCTTCCAGAGCTCCTCCAGGGGTACCACAGTAAGATGCGGTCAGCTCTGGGACCCCAGCACAGGGAGCAGTCAGTCCGGACAAGGCCACCAAGCTGATCAGAGGATGGAGCACCTCTCCTACAAGGAAAGGCTGAGAGAGTTGGGATTGCTCAGCAAGGAAAAGACAAGGCTTCAGGGTGACCTAATGGCAGCTTTTCACTACCTAAAAGCAGCCTTCAGGAAAGATGAAGAGCGACTATTTAAAAGAGCAAAGGGAATAGCTTCAAAATGAAAGAGAGTAGAATTAGATTATATTTAGGAAAAACTTCTTCCCTGTGAGGTTGGTGAGGCCCTGGCACAGGTTGCCTGTGGAGCTGTGGATGCCCCATCCCTGGCAGCGTTCAAGGCCACACTGGATGGGGATCTGAGCAGCCTGGGATAGTGAAAGGTGTCCCTGCTCGAGGCACGAAATGATCTTCAAGGTCCTCGCAACCCGAACCGTTCTTCGCCTGCAGACAGTACTGCTCGAGAGCTGTGCCCTTTCTAGTGAAACCCGCCGAGGCTCCTGCCCAAGTTTTCCCTGCGGTTGTGCAATTACGAGCCGCTCCACATTTCTGCCGCCGCTGCAGCCGCCGCCGCTGCCAGCTCAGCTTTCCTTTCTGCGGGCGCTGCGCTGCACAGCCCGCCGCCAGCTCCCGCACCGCCGCGGGCCGGACGGGGGGACGAGCGCCGGGGACACGGGCACACACAGCCCACACCCGGAGCCGCCTTCCCGGCGGCCGCCAGGGCGCTCCGGGAAAACTTCAGCTGCGCCCCGCTCCCGCCCGGCAGCCCCGAGCCCCGCGATTCCACCGCCACCCCCGCGTCCCAGCCCGGCCGCGACCCCCGCGTCCCGCCGCGACCCTGACAGCGGCTGCCCCGCCGCCAGGCCTCCGCCCGCGCCGCCGCCGGGGGCACTGGGACGGGCGGCGCTACCTTCGGGTCCCGCTGCGGCAGGAGAGGAGCCGCTGCTGCTCAAGGGCGAGGTGCGCGCCGACGGCGGCTACGAGCCGGGGGCTCCGGCGGGCGCGCTGCGGCCGCGGCTCCGGCTGAGCTCGGCGCGGCTCGGTGCGACAGCCCCGCGGCCCCGGTGTGAGGGCGGCCCTGGGGCTCCTCTGGGGTCCGTGCCCCGTGCCCCCTGTCCCCTGTCCCGTGTGTTTCGGTGACAGCTCGCTCCTTGTCCCCAGCTCGTCCTCTGCAAAGCTGTTCGCTGCGCCGGGCACTGCCCTGTGTCCGGTCGTGAGCTCCCTTGTTGGAATTTGAAAATGAGTTCCCAGGCGTCCTTTCCCAGGACTGCTCATTTGAGCTTTAGCTGTGTTCAAACCTGCTTTTCCCTTCCCCTCAGAGGACAAATGTCTTGACCCCCGTGCAGCCCCAGGACTGCTTCTTCCTGTTTCTAATTCTTTTCGCTCATTTGAGCTTTAGCTGTGTTCAAACCTGCTTTTCCCTTCCCCTCAGAGGACAAATGTCTTGACCCCCGTGCAGGTTTGACAGTTTAGGAAATCATATTCGACCTTTGCATTTGTTAATGCTTGGTGTAAGCTTGGGCTTTGATTTGCGGATTTCCATTCCCACCTTTCAAGGTTTCAAGGTGTGGTACCTGGTGGGTTTTTTGGCTGTTATTTTATATGTGCTTTAAGCATTTATTCAGCACTAAAGGGGTTCAAAAATGCTCACAATTTATTTTTATTGGATAGGTAAGTACCAGCTATTACAGCAAATGCACTGCGCTTCCTCTAAGATAGTGGTTTCTGGAATAAGTATAAATTCTACTTGTAACCTCTTAGGCTATCTCAAGTAAGCCTGTACTCCTATTTAAAGAGATGTACTAACATGTACAAATCATTGCAAAACTTTGTGCATTGTATTTCTGTTATTCTGATTTATGAGTATGTACAAGGTAAGGTTTGGGGTTTTGTTTTTTTTTTAAGAAACTCGCTATCTCAAGTAAGCCTGTACTATTTAAAAAGATGTACTAACATGTACAAATCATTGCAAAACTTTGTGCATTGTATTTCTGTTATTCCGATTTACGAGTATGTACAAGGTAAGGTTTGGGGTTTTGATTTTTTTTAAGAAACTATTGCAATAGTTTATACAAATCAGAGATTAAAATAAATTATTGAGTGATTTGCTCAGCCAAGGGAAGAAACTCAAAACTGCCACGGGGTTGAGGGTTAATTATAATGAGGGCAAAGCGGTGGTTGAAACTGTAATTTCTGCAGGTGAAAATAAAATGGGGATGTAAGCTGTCTATGGTGACATCTGTGGTTACAAAGCTGTTAAAGCAAAAGGGCTGACACTACCTGGAGCTTTCCCTTTCTCTCACAGAGATACTGCTCCAGTTTAGAAAATCCTTTTCCTACACTACAGTTCACTGTAGAAACAGAGTTTTGTGGTGACTTAGCATTCTTTTCTAACTTGTGCCCAGATGTGGGAGAAGGGGGAGGCCAGGGGGCTGAGGGCCCCTCTCCTGGGGCTCACTGTTTGCACAGAAGGCTGTCCCTTGGGCACAGGGACTGTCCCCCACCTCCCCTCAGGAGCCTCCTCATCCTGTGGGGTCCCCTCAACAGCACACCGAGTGTGCCCTCACTCTCTGCTGGTGTGAAGAACAAGGCTGCTCTCTGCTTCTGTGTCCTCCTGTTTATCCCTTCCTGCTCTGTAGGAAGAACCTGGGCAGCGCCTGTACCCAAGCCTTCCCACAAGTTTCCAGGGAGAAGCTGTCCTTCTCAGACAACTGCCAGAAGGTGGCTTGGAGGCACAGAAGGACAAGGTGACATCATCTACGAGGACAAGCTGTGGTGGGACCAACATGAGCCTTGCCTGGAGGAGTGGAGTATCCTCGTGGGACAAGGGAAGAGCAGTGAGAGCCATTTACTGTGACTTTAGCAAGGCCTGTGACACAGCCCCCCACGGTATCCAAGTGGGTTTGGCATGCACAGGAGAATGAGACTCCTGTGCAATGGGCCTTGTGCTCAGCAGCACAAATCCTTCGTTAGTATTCTATCCTCCACTGGGTATTGATTTCTCTCTGCTCATGCTAATTAGTCCATATATTTAGTATTTTTTTTCCTCCATTAGGGACTTTCCAACACACATATACACTGGGTCTTTGTTAGATTTTCTTTATGCTCTGATTTCTGCAAAGCATCTGTGTAGTCTACAAATTCAGTTCTTCTTGTCACAGGTGTGACTCCTGGGTTTGGTGCTGTGCAGGGCCAGCAGTTGGACTCCATGATCCTTGTGGGTCCCTTCCAGTCAGCTTACTTTGTGGTTCTGCGATTGTATCCAATTTAAACAATGCTTCACTCTCTCCCAGGCCTTGTTCAATGAAGCATATCAGGGTCACATGCTGGCTAAAAGTGATTTAAGACTACCATGCTGCTGATAATTAATATACTGATTATAATTGATTTTAAAAAATAATTAAAAACTGACTAGAAAATTTATGTCATTTTCAACGAGCACACATGGCCACTGCAGTGCAGGTGTGCAAAGGGTTGGTGTGGTGCACATGTGTTCATGTCTGAGCAGAGGGTGGGTGTGGTGAGGATCAGGGCAGCTGTGAGTTGGTTTTCCTGGAGCTGCAGCTGTTTTCCAGCTAGCTGTTGCCTCTAAAATGGCTGGGATTGCTCAGCCTGGAGAAGAGAAGGCTCCATGGAGATCTTAGACTATCTTCCAGTACCTAAATGGCCTAAGAATATGTAAGGATTTTTGTTTTTCTTTTTTATTTTATGATTTTGTAGCGTTAGAAACAAAAAGACAACAGCTGGAAGATGATAATTTCTGTTTTCTTCTCACAGGCCCCATGCTATTGTCAAGCCTGCTGCTTGGTCTGGAGAAGATTTCCATCACAGCTTTGACTGTTTCAGGGTTGTTTTCACCCTCTCTCAATCACAAGCTGGTAAGTACCATAGCCTAGTTAGTTGTGCTACTTATTTTTCTCTCTCCAAATACTTACGTAGTTATTTCATGTCAGGCTGGAAACAATTTTAACTGAAGGGTGGAAAACCTCTGGGTGCATCCCCACCTTTCTGTGGCTGTGTCAATGACCCCTCTGACAATGGGAATTCTTAAACTATACTAAGGCACATGGGAAATAAGAAGGTGATTGGTGATGGCCAAACCTGGCTTTGCCAGAGCAAATCATGCCTGAAAAATTTGCTGTAGAAACACAGAAGGACATGTGTTCAGAGAAACAGGCATGATGTTCCCTCCAAAATAAGAGGGAACGCTGATTTAGAGTTGGAACTGAGGACCCATAATATATTTGGAAGTAAAGAGTAAAGTTGAGGGACAACTGTCCTGAAGGTGTAGAAAAGTATTAATACTGGTACAGGACACAAGGATAATTTCATACTTGAAGCCACATGAAAAAGTCACAAAAAGAAGGCAGAAGAGCAGTGATACCTTGTGTAAGAAGGAGGTAAGACATCTAAGTTGTTATGATCAATTTTGGTAGTTTTAACTGAAGAGAGGGTGCATTGAAAATGAGATAACAGCAAGAAAAGCAGGAAGTAAAAGGTGCATTTCCTGCTGTGGTTGCAGCAGGAAGTGTATCACAACAATTTTTTGGCTTCTCATTTCCAGTAATGGTAATATTTTTTTTAGAAGTAGAACAAAAAGGCTTGTGGTAACAGGCATACAGTGCATCTCACAAATCTCACATGCAACAAGAAATATATAAGGGTCTCATTAAAGGAGAATGTAGCACTTAATTCCTGATGCAGCTTTCATTTGATTTCTCATGCAAGCCAATATTTTATTACTTTTTTTTTTCAACTTATCTACAGTTTATAAATGCCCCTCTCATCAAAAAGCAGACAAGTAGCATCTAAATATTTGGCAGAGGCTAAGCATCTACACATTTATGAGATCATGATAGTAATTTTTAAAAATGTCTGTCTTTTAAAATTATACCAACTTCTTTCTAGTCATATTTATCTGCACGTGATTATCACCCAGTTATTGATGGGCAAAAAGGGGCAGTCAGCATGGGGGACTTATTCTTGTGATGTTTAGGGGTTTGAGTGAGTTTATTTAGTATTATTTTTATAAACTTTGTACTAATGGCAGGAGGAGTCAGCAGTGGTATTTCCTAGGAATTTATACCTGGCCCCTGTGCTTCAATGTTATCATAAAAATCCCAAATGGGGGTACAAAATGATGGGAGAAAGTTTGCTGATAACTTAGAATTAAGGAATTACTTAGAGGAAAGTTAGAAGAAATTACTTACAGAAAGAAAACATTTTGCTTCATATCTGCAGAATATATCAGGATATTCAGTAGCTGAATGGTGAAGCAGTAAATGATATGTCAGTAACGTAAACTGACTTGCCTTGAGGAAAAGGCAGCCTTGACTTTTTTAATCTATTTCTCTTTTTGCTCAGATTGTGGATGTGTAATAAGAAGGTTCTGTGGTATTGTTAGTGCAATGCTTAGTGGAGATCAAAATAGCAAGTGCTAAGAATAATGGAATTGCTAGGAAAATAATAGAATGTCATGAAAGGAATTGTTGCATTGCAGCATAAATCCATTGTGCATCTGTATGGTAAGTATGACATGCATGTCTATTCCCATGAGGAGTGGCATGCTGGAAGAAAAGAGAAATGGTCACAATTTGTCATAACAAGAAAAAAACAATGAAATCCTGTGGCAGATTCAGTGGTACATGCTGAACAATGGTGCATGTCTTTCCTTGGTGTTGCATGTTGAAATTTCTCAACTCTCTTCTGCTCTGTGAAGAGTTATCCCCCCTTTTGGGCTGGATTGCAAGTCAGAGTTAAAGTATAAGCTTATTAACTGCTTTGTGGGGAAAGATGAGGTAGAATTTGATGTATCTTTAAGAGATTAAAGTTCAGGGCACTCTTTTCCCTTTCCTATGTGTGTTATGAAAGGTACAGTTCTGCTTTTTAAGCATTGTGGATGATAACTGCTATTGCCTTATGTTGTCGTGAATTGTACAAGCCAAAAGTCTGCCTTTCCCTTTAGGTTTTTAAACATACACCCTTTGTAAAATGAGAAAATGGAGGATTCAAGCCAGGATTCATGGCCTTTCATTTTTCTGCCCCACAGAGCTGTTTG